AAACAGGCATGGATAATGGGATTTACAAAACATCACAGAATGGAGGATAATGGCTAGAAGGGCCACATCAAGCAATTCACTGCAGTTTCTAAATAGGGTTTATTTTACATGTTGTAGCATAAGGGAGTGTAATCCAGAGTGTGTTTGGGAATGGTTCAAGAGCATTAACTACAATAGAAGGCTGAAGTGTGTTACTCCATGTATGAACCACACAATAAAAACTTCACTTAAAAAATATGAAAAGATTTGGCACATGATAAAACTTTTGTATATTAGCTACTTGAGAAAAAATATGTCATAACTGCATGTTTTAACACATTAACACTTTTAATTCCAAATGTTTCACAAGTTTGAATTTGGTTATTGTATACTCTTAAAGAATAATCTTTAATTGATTTTACTTAATTTTTTTGACTTATAAGTACATTCCATTAAAATCATATAAATACTAAATGTAACTAGTATATTTCCTGGATTTTAAAGAAATTGTTTTAAAGAAATATTATTGTAATTATTTTAAAGAATTATTGTTTCTGATGATTTATACAGGCAGCCATGTTGTTTAGTTCCGGAGTCTTTTGGATGGGTCTGCTGTTTATCCCAGTGGCATCGTTGCTGCTTGATGTGGCATACAAAGTGTAAGTGTGACACTTGTTTATATACAAAAAAAAAGCAGAAGCCTAAAAATCCTCAGGTTTCTGGAATTGTAACATCAAAGTAAGAATGTAGAGTTGGCAGAATAGGAATAGTCATATAATTAATATTCATATAAGTGATATTAATATTAAATCATATGATTGATATCATTAATATTAATTCCTATGATTGATATTAATAGTAATTATTATGATTGATATTAATTAATAGTAATTACTCTGAATGTATATTAATAAAGGAGAAAGGAATAATGAGAAACTAGAAAACTAAATTCATTTAAAGTCCAAATACGAAGGAAACAAGTAGTTTTGGTTTAATATCAGGAAGAAGTGCCGTGGAGAGAATTACATTAGAATATGTTTTTTAGAAATCAGCCTGAAAACCCATGCAGGGTAGAGGGAAGAATTCTGTTATCATGAAACACAGGATTGATTGATTGATTTTTTAGCAAATGATAGTTGTGAACAGAAGTATGTTTTGCTTGCCTAATTTTAAACATATATAGTGTATTGATTGATCGATTTTTAGCAAATGATAGTTGTGAACAGAAGTATGTTTTGCTTGCCTAATTTTAAACATGTATAGCTTATAGAAGGGAAGAAAATTAACTTTCCTAATTTTTCTCAAGTATTAAAAGTTTTAAAATGTTAAAGTCTTCTTACAGCAAAAGGTATCACTGAAATTACTTATACAGTAAAACCTACAAAAGCCAGAACCTATGTAAGGCAGAAACCAATCAGAGAAGAAAGACTCAAATATTTTCTACTAATTGACAGTGACAGAAAAGTGGTAAGACTACACCCTGTCAAAGGCGGAAAACTTGTAAGACCTGGAAAATCTAGGCAGTCCCGTCAAGTTCTGGCTCTCCCAGGTTTCACAGTATAAGTTTATTTCATATTTGTAAGAGGTTTAACATTATAAACTTCAACTAGTTAATTTATGACCATTATTTCTATAAGTACCTTAGTGCTCAAAATGACAGTGATTTCTTAGATTTATTTTATTGAATAACTAACTGTTCCCCATACCCTGGTCACTATTCTACTTATCAGTAGCATGATAGTAAAATAGGTACTAGTTTTGTAAAGTCTTACCAAAAAACAATAATAAATACTCACAAGAGTTTGTCTATACAAATCTTTTCTTTGCAGTATCAAGAGGACTGCTTTTAAAACTTTAGTAGATGAAGTTCAGGAACTAGAGGCAAAATCTCAAGACCCAGGAGCAGTCGTGCTTGGAAAAAGGTAAAACACACCCTGAGTATGTACTTTTACATGTGAATTTTAAATTTGTCTTTTACTGGGGTTTGGAAGTATGTGGCGAAACTTGAAGCTGGCATTAACATGAAGGTGGCAGTATAATTTCTAGATATTATAATCAGAGATGTGGAGTAAAATCAAATCTGTCATTCACTAACCTGTATGACCTTGACCAAGTTGATTAATGGAACTGAGCCTCAATTTTCTCATCTACAAAATGGGCATGATAATACCTACCTCATGGCTAGTTATAAGAATTGAATACAACACTCTAGATAAAGGAGCTGTCATGGCACAGTGGTTAAAGCATTCAGCTGCTAAACAAAAGGTCAGTGGTTCTAACCCATCAACTGTTCCATGGGAGAATGATGAGGCAGTCTGCTTCTATAAAAATTGAAAGCTTTGGAAACCTTATAGAGCAGTTCTACTCTGCCCTGTGGGTCACTATGAGTCAAAAACTGTTCAGTGGCAGTGGATTATATAGTACCTGGTATTAAATGAACATTACATATATGGTAGATACCAATATTATTATGTTATTAAAGTGAAAGACGGGAGAGAGAGACTTTTAGTTTGGAATAGTACACAAAATAAAATAGAACATAATCAAAATTAGAGCTTGACATAGGGAAAATGGCTGTAAAATTAAGCAGCTAAATAAATATATAGGAAACAAATTATATCTTCAAAGTCCTCATCATTATCTGTTCCCTCTAAGGTAGCAGAGTTAGGATGTTCATAGAATTGATAAACAAAGTATTATAAATAGAAATAAAAATGCAGTTGAAAGACTAACAAAACACAATTAAGAAGGTAGTGCTGAGACTTTGAAATATTTTTTTTAACTCTTTTGTCATACTAAAGTCTATATAAATCAGCTAAATTTTTATCTAAACAAATAAAAATATATATATTGCGCCCTGGTATATGTCACCTTAATAGTTATTCACTGTTGTTACTGAGTTTAACACATGGAGGAAGTGTCAGACTGGGAACTCCAGCTGAAACCTTGTCTTCTAGCTCTACTCGTCTTGTTAGTCCAAAGGACGAATCGCATACCAGTTTGCGCCTCTGTTTTAAAAATGATAACACTGATATTTGTTGAGTGCTTGCTTCATGCCATGCTCTGCACTTGTCACATCACACACACTATCCATTTAATCTCATATAGTCCACCACCCTTCATCCGTTTGTCATACTGTGGCAGGTTACATGTTCTCATGTTACAGCCATGATATTTCAGATACTGCAGGGTCACCCATGTGGACAGATTTCAGTGGAGCTTGGAGACTAAGACAGACTGGGAAGATAGGCCTAGTGACGTACTTCAGAAAATAAGGCAATGAAAACCCGAAGGTTCACAACGTAATGTTGTCCGGCGTGGTGCTGGAAGACATGCCGCTGGGTCGGAAGGCACCCAGACGGCACTGCAGCAGCGGGCTCAAGCAGACCGTGCTCGGGACCGTAGCACAGGACAGGCAGCCTTTTGTTCTTCTGTACAAGGGGTCACCGTGAATCAGAGCCGACTCGATGGCAACCAGCCAAAAACATCCTCACACAACCCATGCAGATGAGTCATTCACACTTTCTCCAGGTGAGGAAAGCGAGGCTTGGAGTAGGTTCCCAAGGGCTTAAGTGACAGAACTGCATCTTGAGGCGGTGTCACTTCATTCTGGAGCCCTGCCCCTAACCATCTACTCTTCTGCCTCCTTTGGCTGCTTTATTAAGAATGTGATGGAACCCCAAAAACAGTCTGTAACTAACTTGATCAAATACTTCAACTGTCTACATCAGTTTCCCTGTATATACGATGGGATGAATAATTGCCTTCAAAGTTTCAATAAGGAATTGGTGACACGAGGAATGCAAATGCCTAGCCAGTCCTTAAGACACAGGGAATATTGAGAAAATGTTAACAAACTCCTCCTCCATCTCTCCCTTCATCTCAGTCCCTTCATCTGAAAATGTGCATCATCATGTTTATCATGGGAGCTCTGGTAGCATAGTGCCTAAGGCACTTGACTGCTAACCAGAAGGCTGGCGGTTCAAACCCACCAGCCACTCCTCAGAAGGAAGTTGGGGCAATCTGCTTCCATAGTGATACTGCCTCAGAAACCCACTATGAGTGGTCACTATGAGTTGGGTCCGACTCGATGGCACATAACAACAACGTTTATCATAGGAAAGCAGCTGTCCCATCATCCAGGACAAATCATCCTTCAGTGAATGTGGTCTCTCGCTTTCTGTCTAGCTATAAAAGGATGTGGTGATAGCTCTACCTCTCAAAATTGTGAATACAATTAACAACAATTTTTAGGGCGAGGCCATGGGTAATACTGTTACTGTCCTTAGGAGTAAATTCCTCGTATTTGTACATTAATAAAACTTACATTAAGACCCTTCACATGATACTTAGTTTCCATGGTTTGCACTATACCAGTGATTTTGATAATTCATAAAACAGACTGAGTGGGTTTCATGTGATGACCACTTGGTCCTAAAGATTCTGTGAGTCTGTGACATATGAACCCTTCCTACTAAGTAAATTAAGCCAGAGGTCTAAGAAAAAAATTAGATTCATCCCTAAGTTACCACCAATTCCTCCATAAAAAATGCATCAGAAAAATTTCCTACTGCTGCCAAGCTCATTTGCCTAAAATAACTATTCAGTTTTTCTTAGGAATTGGGTAATGAGTTAGCTATTAACTGAATACCACAGACAAAACCATACACCTACCAACAACAACAGACAAAAACTTCCCGGTGCCAGATGTATTCCACATTGCCAGTGCTGCAGGTTGGCTACCACAAAGGACGGTGGTGGTCAGCATATCCATAGTGTGTTCCTGGTAGGTGATATGTAGGAGACAGGGGAGAAAAGGACCCTGTGAAAGGAGAAAAATAGCAACTGAGTAGAAAAGTCTTCAGGTTGAGACTAATTTCATTCTAAGGCAGTTAAGGAATTTTCATACATGATTTTATTGCCAGGATTATTTAGATATCTTAGGGAATGAGACCTGCCTACTGCTATCAAGTCAATTCCAACTCATAACAAGCCCCATTGGGTTTCCAAGGTGGTAAATCTTTACGAAAGTAGATTCCCCATCTTCCTTCCTTGGAGTGGCTGGTGGGTTTGAACCACCAACCTTCTTCTGGTTAGCAGTCAAATGCCTTAGGCACTGTGCCATCAAAGCTCCTTTGAGAACGCGACAGATGTCAAATATAAAAAAAATTAAAAGTTAGCAAAAAAAGGAGAAATTATGATTTATTTATATCCTAGCAATAAATTGTTGTTGGCTCCAAATTACATATGATTTTATGCCTCCAGTTCTTTGCACAAACTGTTCCCTTGTCTAGGTGCTTGTATGCCTTTTACAGACTGGGCGCTCCAATTCCTGGCTGTCAAAACCTTGTTCAAATGCAGTGTTCTCAACTCTTCACAGATAAAAGTAATTAATTCATAGTCAGTAGAGTATAAACCTCTATTAGTACATTTATTACATTGTATTATGTTTATTTATGTATATAAAATGAGCTCCTTGAGGAAGAGACCTATGTCTTAGCGAAAGCTACAACCCAATCCCAGGAGCATGGTAGCACTGGATACATAGATAAATATTTGTTGAATTGATGAATGGCTGAAATAGGTGAGTGAATCGTTAAGTGAATGGATGAAGGAATAAATTAGTGAATGAATGAAAGGGTTGAGTAAATGGATGGAAATGGTGATTAGATGACTGAGTGATGGGTAGTAAATGAATGGGTACTGGAGTGGTGAGTAGTTAAGTGAAAATATGATACATAAGAACATAGATATAATCTTATAGGTTACACATCCCACACTAGGAAATGTCCAAAGCAGCAATTGTTTACTTTTTTGTTGTAAAATGATAAAATTCTTGGCTTAAGAAATATCTTGTGTGAGTTGATGATCTCCTTTTTTTTTCTTTTCTTTTTTTTTTTTTTAATCTTTACTAAGCACTGATATAGGAGCTCTGGTAGCATAGTACCTAAGGCACTTGACTGCTAACCAGAAGGCTGGTGGTTCAAACCCACCAGCCACTCCTCGGGAGGAAGGTTGGGGCATTCTACTTTTGTAGTGATACTGCCTCGGAAAGCCAAGGAGGGGCTGCTATGAGTCAGGTCTGACTCGAGGGCACATAACAACAACAAAGCACTAATATGAATTTTAAGCTATGTATAAAATGCTAATGTGTCAAAGCAGCTATATGCTGTAAACACTGTATAAAGATTAATATTTACAATCATTTATTTCTCATCTTTACTCATTCTGAAAACTTAAACCATCTTAGTTAAAATACTTAGACTTTTTTCAGTAGAAATGTACACCACCTACCATATTATCTGACAAGGCAGATGCAATCCAATTTTACATTGAAGTTTTGGGGGAAAGGTATGTTTCATCATCTAAATGTATGGATTTTGAGACACGGGTTATGGTGGAAATCAATTTATGTCTAAAATGTTGGGAGACTAATCCCAATATTTCTCCAGAACTTATAGATCAGTTTTGTAGTCATGGCTTATTATTTTTTATTAAGAAATCTATGATCAGTGTGTCAAAAATAAATCACTCAGAACACCATAAACAGACTGTTATGCAGGTTTAATAGAGAACTTTAAAGTTGAGCAGCACATCATTACCAAGTAAATCAGTGCTCCCATTCATTAAGATTTTCAGGGTTGCAAAACAATAAAACATGCCATCGAGTTGATTCCGACTCACTGTGACTTTATAGGACACAGTAGAGCTGCCCCTTTTTCTCCCACAGAGTGGCTGGTGAGTTTGAACTGACCATCTTTTGGTTAGCAGCTGAATGCTTTACTTTCTACACCATCAGAGCTCCTTTCTTATATAAGATTTCATCAGGAACTTTGAATAAAAAAATTTTATTGGTTGAAGATTATGTCAGAATATATAAATTGTATAAGAGAGCAGTATAGGAAAATAGAAATATTGCTAA